ATATATATATATATATATATAGATATAGATATAGATATAGATATATATAGGTATATATTAGTTTCTGTAGATCAGCTGAAATGACTGAGAAGGAAGTATTGGCCAGGATATCCTCTTCTATCAGAAATACTGGACGTTGTCTCCTGAAGCTTCTCGTCCTCAGACGAACGGGAGGCATCACATCGCTTCTGTCAGCATCATCTGTCCCCAGTCTTCAAACTGGTACCATCATAAACTGATCCAATACAAAAATATCAGAGTCCAGACTGACCGCAAACGTATCATTCAGCCTTTACCCTCAGCATGACGTCAACACTTCCTGTAACTTTTTAACGACATCCTGTCAGCAGAGAACTTTTAATGTGAAGCCACAAACAGAAACGTTTGAAATAAAAACAAAAATTGAATCACTGCAATTTAAACTGTGGGAGAAGAGACAGTCATGATCACTGTTTGTCAGACCAGAGTCTGAACAGCAAGTCAGACATCATGTGACACACAGGCAGGTCACATGACTCCATGTATGTTTCAGTCACGTCAGTCTCTTGACACCTCACCTACATCCTGCGACAGAAAAACACCAGCCAGAAAAACAGAACAGAAACAGAAAAACTAGCGCCAAACGCCAAAACAGAAAAACTAGCGCCAAACGACCCAGCTGACTCGGACTCAAAATGCAGCCTGTGGAAAAGAGCTGTGAGAGTGAGGATGGAATAACTAAAAGTGACGGGGGAGGAGCTTAAAGACATCATGGTTACCTGTGGTTCCACAGGCCGGTGCATGGCGGGCGCTTCAGACACCGAGTTCCCGTTGGGATAGGAGGACTCAGAGCGTGGTGGCACCGGAGGCTGCTGTGGTTTGGTCTGAGCTGCCTGAGGAGAACCTTGGATGTTCTTCCGGTATCGCTCGTCAGCCTGAGGAGGACGGACACACACACACACAAATGGAGGGCAGCAGTGTTAGCAGCGGTTTGAGAGTCCAGGTTGAAGTGTGTGAGGATGTAAACATGACAGGAAGTGGACAGAAGCTGTTAGGTGCTACGGTTCGTTAGTTTACTGCCGCAGAGCAGAAACATTTGGTACTACAAGCACATCAGAAAGTCATCAGCTGATACAGGCAGGAACAACACAGCACTTCCTGAAGGGCAGCAGCATTGTTGTTGCCACAGTATTCCCACATCCCTACTAGTAGGACAACGACACCACGACCAGCACACAGTGTCATGCATTTTTCATGTGGAGAGAAAAACAGAGAGGTTAGGACACACAGCGAGGTCCAGGACACCGATTCACACAAACAACTGAGGGTTGGTTTTTACTCTCAAATGTCAAAGTTAATCTGAAGCACGACCTCATTTGTTCTGTAAAACATGTTAACACAGTCTTAATCTGAAAGTGACTGCTCCTTAACGAGACGTCCACTGAGAGACAGATACAAAACTCTCAGCATCAACATCGATTTCCTTTGTTTTAAAGTCATCGTTCAGCTGAGAAGAGTTCATCCTAACCAGCTGCAGAATCAGATTCATGAGCTGTGAATGACACATGTATATGTTCAGTTTATATGAGATCATCATCTCTGCTGAGATCTGGAAACACAGCGACATCAGCACGATGACGTCATTCGGATGATTCTCCTTACCTTTATAATAAGTCTCTCATTTCACAGCTACGGTGAGTTTGTCAGCTTCAGTTTGATCCAGTGAGTCAGTGTGTGAACTATGACGACAGTTACAACCTCACACTGTATGAAATAGTGTGCGGCGCCATCATGACATCACACACTGCTTTGTGGAAGTTCTGAAGCCTTGTCTTTGGCATTGTGTCTGTCACCATCTTTGATTTTTGGAGCCAGACGTGACCACATTTGGAGGAGAGGGTGGAGCTAACCTTACCGTTAGGCGCTGTCTCTGTTAGCATTCCTAATAAAGAATTTCAATTTTAATGTCACATATGAAATCACCCAGGTGATCTGCGCTGCCTCTGCATCATAAACCCACAGAGCAGGTGCGCTTGAGACTTCTGCCGCCAGACTTCCTGTTTGGCGCTCTGCTAACTTGAATAGGGATAAAATGATTTAGTCGTGTTCTTCTAGACTTTCCAAGTGTTATCGTACCAACTGGATCCAATCTCAGCAGTGAAGTTAGTGATTAAAATATTTTGACAGGAATGATGAATAAAATAAAACGCAGGATTATTGTTTCAGTGTGTCTGATCTTACTGAAGGTGACGAACAGCTGCTGTTCACAGTCACTGTTACTGAAGTCTGTCGACTGAATCACCTGAAAGAGTTCAGATAAGATCGTCCAGCTGTTCTTGTGTCGCTCATTGAAATAAAAACCTGACTCGTTCCTGCACAAACAAACAAACAAAAAAAAAAAAACAGCAACCACCAGGCAGTAAACTGCAACAGTAGGATGCCAAAATGAGAGACAGGAAGTCACACTGAGGACTAATGAGGTGGCTCATTATTACAGTAACTTCATTAATATGGTGGCAAAGACAACACGGAGGTTAATTAGAGGAGCAGCCGTGCCCTCGCTCAAGAGGAGGAGGAGGAGGAGGAGGAGGAGGAGGAGGAGGAGCTGCTCAGGTCACAGCGAACTCTGCGATGATGTCAGAGAGCGTTTTCTAAAAGAATCCCAGGAAGGACGAGCAGCCATTTTAGACGGACAGAAAACGAGGCCTCTGAACATGAAGTCAAAAACTCTCAGACTTCAACAGTTACTGAATAAAAACACGTCATAATTATCTACTCTGAAAACACGCAAGGATCTTAAAACAGATTCAGTCATGACGGTTACGGCACGTATTCATCTTTTAACTGAAAATATAAGAGCTCAGGAAACATTTGTCCTTAGATTCATTTAACAATCACTTATTTGTTAAATCCTTTATTAAAAGTCTGTCTTTGTTTCTCAGACTATTATCAGAGGAATCTGAGGCAGCGGCCAATAACCCCCAACGCATCTGATATTTCTACTAATTGACTGATATGATTAAATCAATTCAGAGAATTAAAGAGATAAATCCGTTGAGAAGTAAAGGTCACATTCAGAGCTCAGCTGTGACAGCACAGTGATTTCAGTAATCTTAATATGCTGCTCAGAAATCTAATTAAACTCTCGTGGAGCAGTTTGAATACGTTTACTGAGCTTTTCCTCAAGTGCCTGTTGACTTCAGCTCTTAAACTCAAGTACCCGACTTAAAGAGACAGTTTGGATCTGTTAAAGATTAGTCTGATGACCAACATATCCTTCGTCAGTTTATTACCAGCAGCAGATGTCAGTCGACACACCTTCAGTTTAAACTAGCAACAGTTCAGAAACAGGAGCTGATCGATGTGCCGCTGTGGACGAGGGCAGTGATGAAATGTGTTTTAACCACTTAAAAATATCAACATCAGTCTGAGTGTGCACCATATGTAGAATATTTTCACCACTTCACCTCAAAGTCAGACAGAGATTGTCAGACGGGGAACTGAAGCTGTTACATCGCTCTCTTTTAAAACCAGACTCCACTGAGATAAACAGTGATTTAACATCAGTGAACTCAGAAGCTGCTGGTCGACTGCTGCCTCCATCAGTTAGTGTGTTTGTGTCACTGTGTGACTTTGGTGTTTTAAAGGGTTAATTCAGATTCACCAAAGTCACACAGTGGCACAAACTGACTTACTGATGGAGGCAGCAGTCGACCAGCAGCTCCTGTAAATCACTGTTTTTATGAATGGAGTCTGGTGACTGTGACAGGAGCAGAGATGGGAACTAAAGCTGTTAACAGCCTCCACATTGGACGCATCAGAGATGGAAATATAAAGCAGTGATAATATTCTAAATATAGTGTACACTTAGACTGATGTTGATATTTTTGAGTGGTTAAAATATGTTTTGCTGCTGAGCCCGTCTGCAGAAGAACATTGATTAGCTTTAATGGTGGAGCTCCTGCCTGCTGATCACCATCACCTGTAGGCAACACACTGACTGTGGATAAATACGTCACACAGCCTCACGTCAAAACATCTGAACTGTCCCTTTAAGAATCAAATCTGAAAACAGCCACAGTGATTCATCAACATCTTGTAAAAATCCAGTGTAGAAAGTGTCTTTTTTTCAGACAATGAGTTTTTAAGGAGATGTAGTTTACCTTGACATGTTTCGACTGTCACTGCAGTCTTCTTCAGAAGCGTCATCTGACGTGCGTCATGACGTGTCTTTATCAGCTGGTAGTATCCCAGAGGCGTGACCAGCCTGGCAAATCGGATTCTCAAAGCTGGCGGAGCTTTGTGTGAGGTTTTACTATTGCGTTTATTTTGTGTTTTCTCATTGTCCTCTGTATGCGCTCGCTGTCATGGACTGGGACAACGCAAAAATCATCGGATCGGAAAGCAACAAGTTCAATCGTTGGATCAAGGAGGCCACAGAGATCAGGAGGCGGGCCAGGGACACCATCAACCGGGATGAGGGGGCTTTCATGCTGTCACACACCTGGGACTCTCTCCTCCAAAGAACACCGGGCGGCGGGGGGCGTGACCAGCCTGGCAATCCGATTTGCCAGGCTGGTCACGCCTCCGGGATATTATCAGCTAACAAAGACACGTCATGATGCACGTCAGATGACGCTTCTGAAGAAGACTGCAGTGACAGTCGAAACATGTCAAGGTAAACTACATCTCCTTGAAAAAGAAACTTTCTACACTGAATCTAATTTGAGTAGACAAAATGAACCTATTTACACCATCTTGTAAAAAGGTCTTTGCATATTATTTTTGGCTCCATTTTGACTTCAGTGTGGTAAAACTGTCTGACGCCTGTTGGTCTGTATCTGCATCATGGACCTGTTAAATGATTAGAGCTAGAGAGACGTTAATAAAGTCTACAAAGCGTCCACACACCCCACACCAGCAGCGAGCCATCACCATGAACACATGAACACCCGAAGCTGTGGGAGTGAGTACACACAAGCAAAGGAAGCGTTCTACAGCAGTCGCTGCGAGGTTCACCTCTCTGATTGGCTCAGAGTCAGGGGCGGGGCCTTCAACCTCAGCGACAGGAAGCCTGGGTTGTGTAGTTTTCTTCAGACTGTGACTCTGACTCGTCTTTTCAGAGTCTGTATGCTGCGGTAGTTTAGTTGGGTCCGGTTCAGAGCTCTGGGGGGGCTTCGTCCTGGCCCGGTCCAGGATCTGAGGGGGCTTCGTCCTGTCCTGGTCCAGGCTCTGGAGGGGCTTCGTCCTGTCCTGGTCCAAGATCTGAGGGGGCTTCGTCCTCTCCTGGTCCAGGCTCTGGGGGGGCTTCGTCCTGTCCTGGTCCAGGCTCTGAGGGGGCTTCGTCCTGTCCTGGTCCAGGCTCTGGGGGGGCTTCGTCCTGTCCTGGTCCAGGTTCTGAGGGGACTTCATCCTGTCCTGGTCCAGGCTCTGGGAGGACTTCGTCCTGTCCTGGTCCAGGCTCTGGGAGGGCTTCGTCCTGTCCTGGTCTAGACTCTGTGGGGGTTTGGGGCTCTGTTGATGGGCTGTTTTGTTAAGATCCAGGTTCTGGTTCTGCTGGAGGGACAGCAGGTAGGCCTGCTCCTGCTGCAGCTGTCTCTGGAGCTTCTGGGCCTGACGCTGCTCCTCCAGCTCCCGCCATTTATACTCCTGAGTACAGGAAGGAGCACGTTCAAGCAAAACCTCTGACAGAAGGCTGTGACACTACTTAATTCTTTAGAGCTGACGACACCTCAGACACTCGGACTCTCCAAACATTCACACCTGTGTGTCTGACGTCCAGCCGAGCTTCAGGAGAGAGATGCATTAGGACAGAGACACAACATGTTCTTCTATCAGGAGAAACACCGTCCCACATGTTACACACCTCTCATGGTCACACAGTCTCCACAGGGAAATGTTGGCACTGGAAGTTTCCTCAAACCACTGATTGGTTTGTACTTTTCATATGTATCATATCAGAGTTTCTGAGCTGACTCTGTCATCAGGAGGTGGAGGGGACGGTGTGACGGCGTGACGGTGTGACGGTGTGACAGCTGCCAAACTGCAGACCAATGTTCAACACCATCAAACAACTAAACTGGTTGTTGGGTTAGCGAGTCGTCGCTGTTTTTTAGCAACGCATCACTTTGTTTCCACGAGGACTCTGCAGAGAAAAGTGTTTTATTTCATTTGATTTATTTAATGATTGATCTTGTGAAGAGACATGGCTGCATTTCCAGCGGAGATCATGCTGAAATAAGTGGTTGTTTTTAACCAAGCCGTCACTGCGTCTCTAGCCGGGGGACCGTTGAACCAAAACCAGGTATTTTAGAAAGAAAATATCATTGTTTAAACAGAGTCGAGTTGTTTTTGTGCCTTAAGGTAGTTTCATCACCTCTGTTACATACAATGTTCACATGATGTAACACATATGAGGTTTGCAGAAACGTTCAGTGCCAACATTTATTCTGGTGTTTCGGATCGGTCTACAGACGACAGGAAGGGTCATCATGAGATGTCGAGTCTGAGCTGCAGCGAGGGGCGTGACTGAAAACTGTGACAGGACGACGAGGACTCAGAGGATGACGAGGCTGTTTATCTTTTCTTTTCACTAACCCTAACTCCTGAGGTCAGGCTGATTTATTTTGTCTCTGATTTATAGTTTCAACCTTTTTAGGTTTTAGCTCAGATCAAAGTAAGAAAACCTGCCTTTTACCACAGATCATGAAGATGTGACGATGAAGAGGATGACGTGTGTCTGTATCAGACCTTCATCAGTGTCTGAATTAATCAGGCTGAGAAACTGGAACAGACAGTCTTAATGAAGGGTCAGGTTCAAATATATTAACCTTGAGGGGGGGGGGGGCAGCCCTCTAAAACCCTCTGAAACTAAACAGCCTTCATGTGAGTCCAGAGTGTGCGACCGCACATCTGTTACAGCTGTTCACTCATTACATCATGTCATTATTAAACAGTAATGGTTCTAATGAGGCTGCTTCAGAAATATCAGGCATGATTAAATCAGATGTCAAAGATTTATTCTTGTTAATCTGTGTTTGAGTGTTTTAAATATTTAACTGTGACAGGATCCAAGTGTGAAGCCATGATGATGATGATGTCATCATGATGTAAAGGAAACTCGGTGTATCAGTGTGACTGAGCCGCGGCGTGCAACTGATGATAAAGTGATGTGTGAGGACGTGTGTGGTCACATCCTGTCATTATGTGAGTATCCTCTGTGAATCCTTTCAACAAAAACTAACCTGCGTATGAGACCTGCCAACATCTGGAATAGAAACAGGGGAAACCCTCTGTTTCCTGGTGATGACATCATCATCACTGAGAGCGCTGTAAACATCCGCAGAACACTTATTACATTCGGCTCCCTGCTGATCTACAACAGTCAGAAGTTGGTCCCAAAAACTGGACTCAGTTCAGTTCGGAGGAAAAGTTTGTGTAACGGAGAAATAAACAGTTCCTTCATCAGGAAACATAACAAGAGAGAGACGAGGAGAAAAGAAGAAAAGTGTCTGAAGGACGGCGGAGAGATGAATTCTGATTCTCTCTGAGCAGGAGGTGAACACGATGTCTCAGGTTCAAACACTCACCAGCAGCATGGCCTGTTCATGGAGCAGCTGCTGCTGCAGGATCTCCAGGTGCCTCTGCTCCTCCTCCAGCTGACGCCGGATGTACTCCTGTCAATCAAACACAGCCCGCCCCCCCCCCCCCCCCCCCCCCCCCCCCCCCCCCCCCACCCCCCCCCCCCCCCCCCCCCCCCCCCTCCATTAGCTCAATGTTGCAGGATCATTTCCACACACATCATCTTAATCTGATGAAGGAGATGCACCAGTTTATCCGTCAGACATCGACATCAGCTGTCGGACAAACCGTTGATTTAATCAATCAATCAATCATCAGCACTGTTTCATCCCAAACACACACGTTACAGCAATAAGCAGCATTCTTTATAATCTGTGTTAATTCACTGTAAGAATTAAAACAGATTTCACCAAATCACAAAATATTTGTTTTTTTTAATTCTTTAAATTACACAATTTTTGTTTTTGGGGAGAAAAAGTTCCAACTGAGAATTTTACTGTCACTGCAGCATGACGCACAGAAATGATCAAATTCAGAAACAACGTCTGAGCCACAGTCAAATAAACATGGCGGCCGCGTCTCGCTGAGCACATTCAGATTTTTGGTAATGATTTCCAGAGGTAATTGATGAGAAAATGGTTCAAATCTTTGAACAGTTTTGAGGAAAAAAAATAAAATGAGTGTGAGCTTATATATGTATACATACATATATATATATACATACATATATATATATATATATATATATATATATATGTATGTATATATATTATATGATGGTCCTTTAAGATGCAGATCTAAAATATCTGCTCGCAGAAACATTTCAATTTAATTCATCAGTTTTACTTTTGATTCACTTTCATAAAAATGGACTTCGTGTACGTGTCCATGACTCGGACTCATACCTGTTCTCGATCAGCCCTCCTCTTCTCCTCCTCAGCCCTCCTGCGCTCTTCCTCCTCTTTGCGGCGTCGCTCCATCTCCTCGATGCGTCTCTTCTCCTCCTGCTCACGTCGGCGCTGCTCGCGCTCCTGCTGCCTCCTCATCTCACGCTCACGCCGTTGTTGCTACGGGAGGAAACAGGAAGTGAGTTAACGATTAATAGGTTCATGTTGCGACTGAGGGCGTCCTCATTCTGACTTTTTGTCTCAATACATGAGACTTCCTGATTTCAAAGCTCCTGATTTCTGAAGCTGCAGAGTTTTTAGTTTTAAAATCAGATCCTGAATCATGTGACTGACATGTGCCATGTGTCTGAACACACCTGTGGCGTGTTGTTCCTCTCAGGTCCATCTTTCGTCCTTTACCTCAAACTGTGGTGTCACCACGGCTCAGCTGAGTAACCACACACAGTACGAACAGGAAGTCAAACGGGAGACGACCCATCCAGTGTTTGTGATGTTACCTGACATGTTATAGGTTCACTCCACTCACAGGACACATGTTATAATGTGTCAGGCTGAAAATACAGAACTATGACAACAAATGACCCCTGACCCTAACCCTTCACACACACACACACACACACACACACACACACACACACACACCGACCCTAACCCTTCACCCCCTGACCCTAACCCTTCATCACCCCACCTACCCCCCCCCCATGTGCTCTGATGTGTGAGTGAAACCGGGCAGCGGCGATGTGCACCTGGCCGCAGTGGGCACATGATTCTGTGGCAAAGGGGCGTGGTCATGTGTTTCAGGTGGGTCAACATGGGTCACCATGTCAGAGGGACCACCGGACTCCTGCAGGTGTTCCCTATCCTAAATTCATCTCTAAAGGTCAAACTGTCTCCAACTTTAAATTCGGCCGCAGTTTTCCACAGATGTTACAGGGCAGTTCGCTGCTCACCGCACGCCGCTGCTGTTTGGTGTGTTTAATGCGTTATGTTGCTGAAGAGCTGTTTGGCTCAGATGTTCAGGAGTTGTTTTTTTTTAAAGATTATTTTTCTGGGCTTTTTTGCCTTTACTTGACAGGACAGTGTGTGAAATGGGGAGACAGAGAGAGAATGGGGACTGACACGCAGCGAAGGGTCGCAGGCCGTTCTCGAACCTGCAACCGCTGCAGCGAGGCAATGCCTCTGTACGTGGGTACGTCGTCGTCACACTCATGATGTCACTTCAGGCTGTCGAGGATCTTTGAGACTTTATTAATGAGGATTTATAAGAATCATGTTTCAGCGACTCTTTACATGACGCAGATTGTGACACGTGTTCTCTGCACGTTATAAACATGTGGTGTTCTTACAGGTCTCAGGTATTTGTCCACCTGTCCCAGAGGAGGACATTTGAATAAATACAGATGCTGACTGAGCTGAGGACGTGGACGCTGGTGGTCCTGTGTGAGGACGTGATTACAGTAATATTTTAAGTCTGATGGGCAGTGATGTCACACTGAGCGCTCTGAACACATGAAGACATTACAGTGATTTCTGTCCGTCAGCGTGACATGAGAATGTGCGGTGACAAGCTGCAGGACGTCCCTGTGCGCTCAGCGTCCACAGGGGGCGGAGTCATGTGTCCAACAGGGGAGTACATGTACAGAGGTATGTCTCCGACTGTTCGCCTACAAGCTCCGTCATGAATCACACACTGAGTCTGTCTGTCCTCTGAGCTGCACAGAGTCCACACGCTGAGACACACTGAACTGTCTCTGTCTCTGTTTCTGTCTGTCTCTGTCTCAGGGGACGCGGTCAGAAACACTCTGCAGCCTGACGCTGGTTTCAGACTCTGTTGTTGTTATCATCAGGTAAAAATCTGACAGGTCAAAGCACATGATGCACAATGCACATGACCCTCCTGACTCCTCCCATGGCCTGCAGCTGCACACACGGCCTGAGACCTGAGACCTGAGACCTGAGACCTGAGACCTGAGGCCTGAGACCTGAGACCTGAGGCCTGAGACCTGAGGCCTAAGACCTGAGACCTGAGTCCACAGGTGAGATAAAGGTAAACTCGTCCTCGACAGACAAACAGAGTTTTCTAACAGCTTTTTTCAGCTCATTAAGCATCAATAAAAATATTTATATCTGTAGATCGAGAGAAAAAACGCTGTCAGAGCTGCAACTGATTATTATTCTACTTCTTAATTAATCAATTAATCGTTTGGTCTGTAAAATGTGTAATAAAATAAATGTCCCACGGCCCAGAGACATGTCTCTGACTGTTTGTTTCATCTGTCCAACAGCTCAAAATATGTCCAACAAGTGTTGTATATCCTTCAGGTCACGATGATGAACACAGACGGACACTGTCACATCTCATAAATAATAAATATTCTTTATGGTTGTTAGTTAAACATGTTGGTGATCATCTAAACATCCACCTCTATAAATCATATCAGTGATGTGATCTTACTGTTTGACTCTCGTTAACTCTCATGTTGGATCTGTTCAGCTCACCTCCTCCAGCCGCCTCCTCTGCTCCTTCTGCTGCTCGATACGTTTCTGCCTCTCAGCCAGCAGTTGGCGTTTGTACTCCTCCTGCTCGCGGAGCTGCTGCTCCTGGAGAAGCTGCTGACGACGCAGCGCCTCCGAGCGCTCCTTGTTCTCCTGCTGCAGCCGGATAAAGTCACGGCGAAGAGTCGACTCGCCTGGCACGTTGACGATGGAGCTACAGAGGAGGTGCAGTGAGAGGTTTGTTAGCTCCTTAAACAGACTGAAGATGGAATAAAGTTAAATAAAGAAATGTTATTGATCATATATCAATATTTAACTGCTGCGACACACGGAGTATAATCCACATATCATCCTCCCCTCTTCTGTTACATATGTGCTGTGATGACATATTCTCACCTGGGCTCTCCTTCCTGCTCAGATGCTTCCTCCTCCTCTTCTTCACTACCGCTGTATTCATACTCTGTCTCATCTGAGGAAACGTAATAAAACTGCTCAGTCAGAGTCAGTATAGTGTGAACATGTCCTCTCACAGAGTCAATAAAACTCTATCTGTATGGACATATAGTACATATATATATATATATATATATATATATACATATATAGTTACCCTTCTCTCCCCTCTTCTTCTTGGTCCGGTCGATGTGGTCTTTGAGCTGGATGCGGACCTGCCTCTCGTTGGGCTGGTCCCGGATGAAGGGGTGTTTGAGCAGCTGCTCGGTCGGAGGACGCTGAGTGTAGTTCTTCACCAGGCAGCCCTCGATGAAGCTGAAGAACTTCTTCGACCTGGAGGGTGAAAGTTAAACGTGATGTTTGGAGCTGAGTGACATCACAGTCGGGAGGATGAGGAGTAAAATATAAAACTCACCATTTTTTGGACTTGAGTCGAGGAGGAGGGTTTCTGGGGATGAGGAAGAGGGCTCTCATTGGATGCATGTCGCACAGAGCTGCAGGAGGTCAGAGACAGACAGGTGGGAGGTCAGAGACGGACAGGAGGGAGGTCAGAGACGGACAGGAAGGAGGTCAGAGACAGACAGGAGGGAGGTCAGAGAGGAGACAGGAGGGAGGTCAGAGACGGACAGGAAGGAGGTCAGAGACAGACAGGAGGGAGGTCAGAGAGGAGACAGGAGGGAGGTCAGAGACAGACAGGAGGGAGGTCAGAGACAGACAGGAGGGAGGTCAGAGAGGAGACAGGAGGGAGGTCAGAGACAGACAGGAGGGAGGTCAGAGACAGACAGGAGGGAGGTCAGAGAGGAGACAGGAGGGAGGTCAGAGACAGACAGGAGGGAGGTCAGAGACGGACAGGAGGGAGGTCAGAGACAGACAGGAGGGAGGTCAGAGAGGAGACAGGAGGGAGGTCAGAGACGGACAGGAGGGAGGTCAGAGACGGACAGGAGGGAGGTCAGAGACGGACAGGAGGGAGGTCAGAGACAGACAGGAGGGAGGTCAGAGAGGAGACAGGAGGGAGGTCAGAGACGGACAGGAGGGAGGTCAGAGACGGACAGGAGGGAGGTCAGAGACGGACAGGAGGGAGGTCAGAGACAGACAGGAGGGAGGTCAGAGAGGAGACAGGAGGGAGGTCAGAGACGGACAGGAGGGAGGTCAGAGACGGACAGGAGGGAGGTCAGAGACGGACAGGAGGGAGGTCAGAGACAGACAGGAGGGAGGTCAGAGAGGAGACAGGAGGGAGGTCAGAGACGGACAGGAGGGAGGTCAGAGACGGACAGGAGGGAGGTCAGAGACAGACAGGAGGGAGGTCAGAGAGGAGACAGGAGGGAGGTCAGAGACGGACAGGAGGGAGGTCAGAGACGGACAGGAGGGAGGTCAGAGACAGACAGGAGGGAGGTCAGAGAGGAGACAGGAGGGAGGTCAGAGACGGACAGGAGGGAGGTCAGAGACGGACAGGAGGGAGGTCAGAGACAGACAGGAGGGAGGTCAGAGAGGAGACAGGAGGGAGGTCAGAGACGGACAGGAGGGAGGTCAGAGACAGACAGGAGGGAGGTCAGAGAGGAGACAGGAGGGAGGTCAGAGACGGACAGGAGGGAGGTCAGAGACAGACAGGAGGGAGGTCAGAGAGGAGACAGGAGGGAGGTCAGAGACGGACAGGAGGGAGGTCAGAGACGGACAGGAGGGAGGTCAGAGACAGACAGGAGGGAGGTCAGAGAGGAGACAGGAGGGAGGTCAGAGACGGACAGGAGGGAGGTCAGAGACGGACAGGAGGGAGGTCAGAGACAGACAGGAGGGAGGTCAGAGAGGAGACAGGAGGGAGGTCAGAGACGGACAGGAGGGAGGTCAGAGACGGACAGGAGGGAGGTCAGAGACAGACAGGAGGGAGGTCAGAGAGGAGACAGGAGGGAGGTCAGAGACGGACAGGAGGGAGGTCAGAGACGGACAGGAGGGAGGTCAGAGACAGACAGGAGGGAGGTCAGAGAGGAGACAGGAGGGAGGTCAGAGACGGACAGGAGGGAGGTCAGAGACGGACAGGAGGGAGGTCAGAGACAGACAGGAGGGAGGTCAGAGAGGAGACAGGAGGGAGGTCAGAGACGGACAGGAGGGAGGTCAGAGACGGACAGGAGGGAGGTCAGAGACAGACAGGAGGGAGGTCAGAGAGGAGACAGGAGGGAGGTCAGAGACGGACAGGAGGGAGGTCAGAGACGGACAGGAGGGAGGTCAGAGACAGACAGGAGGGAGGTCAGAGAGGAGACAGGAGGGAGGTCAGAGACGGACAGGAGGGAGGTCAGAGACGGACAGGAGGGAGGTCAGAGACAGACAGGAGGGAGGTCAGAGAGGAGACAGGAGGGAGGTCAGAGACGGACAGGAGGGAGGTCAGAGACGGACAGGAGGGAGGTCAGAGACAGACAGGAGGGAGGTCAGAGAGGAGACAGGAGGGAGGTCAGAGACGGACAGGAGGGAGGTCAGAGACGGACAGGAGGGAGGTCAGAGACAGACAGGAGGGAGGTCAGAGAGGAGACAGGAGGGAGGTCAGAGACGGACAGGAGGGAGGTCAGAGACGGACAGGAGGGAGGTCAGAGACAGACAGGAGGGAGGTCAGAGAGGAGACAGGAGGGAGGTCAGAGACGGACAGGAGGGAGGTCAGAGACGGACAGGAGGGAGGTCAGAGACAGACAGGAGGGAGGTCAGAGAGGAGACAGGAGGGAGGTCAGAGACGGACAGGAGGGAGGTCAGAGACGGACAGGAGGGAGGTCAGAGACAGACAGGAGGGAGGTCAGAGAGGAGACAGGAGGGAGGTCAGAGACGGACAGGAGGGAGGTCAGAGACGGACAGGAGGGAGGTCAGAGACAGACAGGAGGGAGGTCAGAGAGGAGACAGGAGGGAGGTCAGAGACGGACAGGAGGGAGGTCAGAGACGGACAGGAGGGAGGTCAGAGACAGACAGGAGGGAGGTCAGAGAGGAGACAGGAGGGAGGTCAGAGACGGACAGGAGGGAGGTCAGAGACGGACAGGAGGGAGGTCAGAGACAGACAGGAGGGAGGTCAGAGAGGAGACAGGAGGGAGGTCAGAGACGGACAGGAGGGAGGTCAGAGACGGACAGGAGGGAGGTCAGAGACAGACAGGAGGGAGGTCAGAGAGGAGACAGGAGGGAGGTCAGAGACGGACAGGAGGGAGGTCAGAGACGGACAGGAGGGAGGTCAGAGACAGACAGGAGGGAGGTCAGAGAGGAGACAGGAGGGAGGTCAGAGACGGACAGGAGGGAGGTCAGAGACGGACAGGAGGGAGGTCAGAGACAGACAGGAGGGAGGTCAGAGAGGAGACAGGAGGGAGGTCAGAGACGGACAGGAGGGAGGTCAGAGACGGACAGGAGGGAGGTCAGAGACAGACAGGAGGGAGGTCAGAGAGGAGACAGGAGGGAGGTCAGAGACGGACAGGAGGGAGGTCAGAGACGGACAGGAGGGAGGTCAGAGACAGACAGGAGGGAGGTCAGAGAGGAGACAGGAGGGAGGTCAGAGACGGACAGGAGGGAGGTCAGAGACGGACAGGAGGGAGGTCAGAGACAGACAGGAGGGAGGTCAGAGAGGAGACAGGAGGGAGGTCAGAGACGGACAGGAGGGAGGTCAGAGACGGACAGGAGGGAGGTCAGAGACAGACAGGAGGGAGGTCAGAGAGGAGACAGGAGGGAGGTCAGAGACGGACAGGAGGGAGGTCAGAGACGGACAGGAGGGAGGTCAGAGACAGACAGGAGGGAGGTCAGAGAGGAGACAGGAGGGAGGTCAGAGACGGACAGGAGGGAGGTCAGAGACGGACAGGAGGGAGGTCAGAGACAGACAGGAGGGAGGTCAGAGAGGAGACAGGAGGGAGGTCAGAGACGGACAGGAGGGAGGTCAGAGACGGACAGGAGGGAGGTCAGAGACAGACAGGAGGGAGGTCAGAGAGGAGACAGGAGGGAGGTCAGAGACGGACAGGAGGGAGGTCAGAGACGGACAGGAGGGAGGTCAGAGACAGACAGGAGGGAGGTCAGAGAGGAGACAGGAGGGAGGTCAGAGACGGACAGGAGGGAGGTCAGAGACGGACAGGAGGGAGGTCAGAGACAGACAGGAGGGAGGTCAGAGAGGAGACAGGAGGGAGGTCAGAGACGGACAGGAGGGAGGTCAGAGAGGGGACAGGAGGGAGGTCAGAGACAGACAGGAGGGAGGTCAGAGACAGACAGGAGGGAGGTCAGAGAGGAGACAGGAGGGAGGTCAGAGACGGACAGGAGGGAGGTCAGAGAGGAGACAGGAGGGGGGTCAGAGACGGACAGGAGGGAGGTCAGAGACAGACAGGAGGGAGGTCAGAGACAGACAGGAGGGAGGTCAGAGAGGAGACAGGAGGGAGGTCAAACAAAACTGGACTTTCACCCAGCAGAGCGCTGTCTGTGTCCTAAAAGTTACCATTGTTTCAACGTAATGTTACATAACTCACGTCCCTACACTCAGTTTATAAACTTAAAGTCACAGTTGTTTTAACATAGCGTGATAAAATTTACGTACAGTTGTCACTCACACAACATATTTACGTCACATGACATCACAGACTGAATCGTTTAGTTTAGTTTCCAGCAGCTGACTGTGACTGTCTCATGACATTAATCACATGTTACAGTGTGTTCAGGACGTGTGACACGCAGATGTGATAAAGGCTGTCCTGCGTGTTGCTATCAGACGCTGAGGGGCGTGGCCAAGCATCTGTGTTAAATGACCTCTGAATGTAACTTATCAATTAACCAAAACAAAGTCCCGCCAGCCTGGAAGGTGGCCACGGTGACTCCGGCTCCAAAACACAGGAGGCCAACTACAGACCAATCAGTATATTGCCAATTATTTCCAGGGTAGCTGAGAAATGGGTAGCGAATCAACTGATCAAACATCTGGATGAAGGTCTCACTCCATTACATCCTATGCAGTTTGGCTTCAGGGCACACCATTCCACTGAGTCAGCCAATTGTATGTTCACCGAAAAAATTAAGTGTCTGTTGGATAAATCCCTATGTGTTGGTGCTGTATTTCTTGACCTTAAGAAGGCATTTGACACCGTCGACCACCAGGTACTCTTAAACAAACTTAAATTTTTTAACTTCTCTGATAATACCATGCAATGGTTCAAATCATATTTGTCAAGCAGAATTCAATGTGTAACTGTCGACGGGGTCAAATCGCCTTTTCGCAGTACAACAGTTGGTGTCCCTCAGGGTTCGATCCTTGTGCCGTTGTTATTTTCACTGTACATAAACGACCTCCCAGATGTGTGCCCAGAACTTAATGTCCAGATGTATGCGGACAACGCAGTCATTTTCACTCACGGTTCAAACTCTGTCATTACCTCCAACAAACTCAGGCTCTCTAACTAAGGTACAAGACTGGCTTAATAACAACTGCCTTATGCTCAACACAAAAAAAAACGGTGTGTATGACATTCACAAAGCGACCAGTAGAGCAGAACAGATCCAACGTATTCATCGGAGAAGAGAAACTTGAATTGGTAACCCAGTTCAAGTACCTTGGTATCACATTAGACACGAATCTCACATTTAAGAAACACATCAAAAAAGTGGCCAGCATGATAAGATTCAGCCTGCAAAATTTTAAACAAATCAGGCCCCTCATCTCGTCTGATGCTGCTAAATCTGATCTCCACTGCATGATTCTGTCTCATATTGAGTACTGTTTTGTGATATGGTCGTTTGCTGGAGTCACCACACTGAAACCTATCGAACAACTCTACAAAAAAGCCATCAAGGTATTCGCCAAAAAAACATTATTCCTCACATCACTGTCCAATTCTTGCGAGGTACAATTTATTGAGTTTTGAACATTTTAAAACTTTTAAATACAGCTGCCTCATCTATAAAACCCTCAACGGGCTGGCTCCTCCCCCACTGGAGGACTTTTTTAAACGGACAGACAACACGCTCAGTACCAGATCTGCCTCCAGAGGGGACTGCAAGGTGCAGTTCAGACGAACCTCTATAGGCCAAAATTCCCTTACTGTAAAGGGCAGTGCAGGTTGGAACGGTCTCCCAACCTCAATCAGAGACAGTCCCACTCTCACTACTTTTAAAAAACAGCTTAAAGGATGGCTATTGACTCATCAAATCTGCACCCATGAATGACTCATTGATCAGCCCTCTCATACAGTCTCTACTGTAGCCCCTTGTTGAATCTACTGTATAACTGCTGCTAATATTGTTGTGAACTTTATATGTTGTTGATTTAACTGTTATTTATGGTATGTCTGTCTGTCTGTCCTTTAATGTGAGCACTATGGATGGAAATTAGCTTCTAGCTAAATCCGGCATATTTACATGACGTCATATATTTGTAATAATAAAGTAAAGTAAAAGTAAAGTAAAGTATGAGGACAGACAGACAAACTGAAGACATGATGTCTCAGGCTGTCTCCTGCATGGCGTCAAACATTAATCAGAAACATTTTAAATGACTATTTACTGACTTAACGTTTCAAACATTCAGAAACAAACAAACTGTTTACTTACGAGGAGCTCCTTCAGCCATCTCTATGGCGGTGATTCCACAGGACCACAGGTCACTCTGAAGGACACAAGATCAGGTCAGTGACATCAGTCTGAGTCATGTTTTAATGTTGGGATATCAATAACACTGACATATCACTGACTGTTCTGTGATATCCTGATCAGTGTCAGTACTATGTGGACGTTTGTGTATTTTAATTTATCAAATAAAATCTATCAGTTCTGGTCGGTCTGGATGATCCACAGCCTGGTCTGCATGCAGCCATACGTCTACCACAAACCAAAGGCTCTTCACCTCCATCATACCGAGGTGACAGCAGAGAGAAACCCTCAACATGTGTCTGAGGGAACATTCATTTAAACAGTCTGTGTTTCACTGACATTTAATTATCTACAGTCAAGACTTGAAACTTATCAGTGGTACAAAAGTAGCTTCTATTCCACAGGCTAAAGAAAAGTGTTTTATTTAAATGTCAGAAACAGACAGAGCAAACACAGAGCGAACACAGAGTTAACACAGAGCGAACACAGAGTTAACAGAGTTATCACAGAGTTAACACAGAGCGAACACAGAGCGAACACAGAGTTAACACAGAGCGAACACAGAGTTAACAGAGTTATCACAGAGTTAAC